ATGTTGATACAAACTTGTAGGGAAGTTAACGCACATCAACAGGATTAAAAATGCATCGGAACCCATGTCCTAGAGATAATATGGAAGGGACCGTAGCGGCGTATGACGGCATTTGCTAGCATCGGTTTCTATGCAATTTTACTTTTAATGATGTGCATTTATGCTACCCCTTGTTAGATGTAACGTTTTTAAAACTTGTACATTTTGAAAAAAAATTGACTTAAATATTATTTATTATAAACAAATCTATAACTTTAGAAACAGATTTCAGATTTAAAATCCTAACTCCGAAATTTGGCACGATCATGTATTTGTATAAATGCAACAAAAAATTTGTTCCCCATTGTTATTTTTCATTTTCTCTTGCACTTGTAATCAATTTTATATAAAGTTAACATAATCCCCAGGATTACTACAACCATTTTTTATTTCTTGATTATGAACAGATTATTCCATCCGAATTAAAGTGTATATAATTGAAAAATCTGTAAATGTATGGCGCTTTTGCACACACGGAGAAAAAAATTCAGGGAACATCACCTTACTTGCATGCCAAAAAACATTTTTGGTGAAAGAAACCACAATTTTAGGAATTAAACCGAAATATACGGTAAGCCATTCATATGGTAATTTTACTGTTCGCTGTTGCTACGGTTTAATGAAAATTCTGTTTTTTCAAAATTATAGTTCCTATTGCAATATATTTAGTAACAAATACAAACCTCAAAAGTAAATGTAACCAAATATATAGTTTTAATACCATGCCCTAAAGTATCACGATAAAACTTCCAAAATGATATTCAGAACTATTAATCATTTTACCATTTATTTGATAATTTTAACTTTTTGATGTCTTTGCCTTATAGAAGGGTTACCTATAGTAACAATTACCATATAGAAGGATTTTAATTTGTTTACGCTTTTACGGTTTATTTAAAATAGCAATTTATTTAAATGATTGATGGGAGTTAGATGGCTGTTAACTATTTCCTATTCCAATATAATTTTTCAATTGTAACAAGTGTTTAAGGGACAAAAATAATGGCTTCAAATGTCTATGTTTTGAAAATATTAAACTCAAGTATATTATACTATGGTGACTGTTTTATCCATGTTCTATGAGGTAGTGGGATTTATTTATTTATTTACGTACACATATGGGTTTCTTTGTAAATACAAAAACGACTTAAGAACTTTTTTTCACTTTGAAAAACAGATAGCACAATTTTAAGAAAGACAGCAAGAATATACATCGAACGTCATACCGGGATTCGAACCCACTGCAGAGAGGTTACCGAAATATCAATAGGTCTCCATCACCGGGGTTTGTTGTCCCTCAGCCAAACACTCAGCAGCGTAGTGATACTCCAGGAGTTAACTTGTCTTCTGGATAGGGTTCAAAATTACAAGGCTACGGGAGTGAACAATGATAGCCGTAAACCCAAAATTGGGTCTGCAGTTCAATGACGGTTGCAAAATGAAATATCTTACAGCTGTTTTTCTCATTTTAATGCTATCTGTTCTGAAATTTAACAAGAGACAGGCAATTACTTGCATTTAGCGCATGATATGTATCTAAACAAAATTTATTTACTTTTTTATTGTTAAACATCCATGATTATGCTTTAATTCAAAACCGCTACCTCCATTTTAAATAGCACCTGGCTAAAAGATGATATAGGTATAAAAGGACATATTTGCCGACTTTTGTAATGAGCTCACAAGCCTGCGTATCTGTGCTTACCAATAAGTAAATAAATGCATACATCTAGAGTTACGTTGAGATTTGAACTCGCTACTACGTTTCCATTTTAGGATGTTGGGACAGTTATAACGTAGTAATTTTATTTACCTTGATGTAGTATTTATTTAGAAACAATTAAGATACTGATTTATTTCAATCTTGCCCTGGCATTTGTACATTTACAAATGCATTTTTTTTAAATAATTTTAAATTTTGATAGGATGTTAACTTACAACTTACAAAAGGAAAAAAATAACCGACGAGAAACAAAGTTAGCAAGAGTTTGCTAAGCAAAATATAGGTTATCAAATTCTTTTTTTATTTTATAACTGTCGTTGAACAGGCGGCCGAATTTTCAATTTACAACTACCAATGCTCAGCTCCGTATCCTTGTAATTTTAAACCCAATTCAGAAGACAATGGAACTCATGGATCAAGTATTGGGGGAAATTTGCTTCGGTGGAAGACTTTTTGAGGGAACTAACCAGCATTTACTTTTCATGAAAAGGAAAACCACGAAGACCTCCCACGATTAGCCTGACGGCAAGGAAACTCTAACCTATGATCCGTCTACCACTGTGGATATTTTACGTCAGCGCTGTGGTCGGTGCGAGCCGGGTGCGAAATTCGAATCAACCTGAACGCTCTATACCTTGATCCGCCCAGGTTATGAAATAGAAAATTTTTACGTTAAGATTACCGAATTCTGTTAAAACTACCATTTCATCGCATTTACAGCATGGTAATAAAAACGATATTCTGTTGTTTATTTTACGAAAAAAAATTATTACCAAAACGCTCCATTAAATATTACCTTGTTCTTATATTCTCATAGATCCAGAAATACAATAAATTTGACCATATTCTGGTAGTTTAGACCTCACTTTTTGTTTCAAAGACTCCGTAGCTTTGCAATTTTGAACCCAATCCAGAAGACAAGGGAACTCTTGGATCAAGTATTGAGAGTAATTTGCCTTCGTGGAGGACTTTTCGCTGAAACTAATCTGCTTTAGCGTTACATAGAGAGAGAAACCACGAAAACCTTCTACAGTAAACCTGACGACAATAGGACTGTAAGCCATGATCCGTCTACCAATGAGGATATTTTATGTCAGCTTTGTGGCCGATTCGAGCCGGATGCGGAATTCATATCAATCAGATATTGCTGGGATTCGAACCCGGTTCACCTTATAGAAAGGCGAACGGCATAGGAAGGCGAAAGAGCCCTGGCCAGGATCAAAATATGTTAGGGAAGGAGTGTATTCTGAATAAATCATTACCAACGAATTTCGACCCCCACGGGCTAGAGGGTTCGCCGATGTTGTATTCTGATACTTTTTTCAGATTTTGCATGTAATCGCTAACGGTGGGGAAAATATGAATGCCAGTTTGCACAACATTTTGCAAGACAAAACTTACTCGCCTGCCTTAAATATTTGGTCATCAATGGCGAGCTGGTGTACTCTGTCGTAGCGGAGAATACTAAGAAAGGATGATAAATAATTTTTATCGGTAAATACCTTAAAATTATACAGCAAATTAAATATTTTAAACTGTACTTTCAAAAATCTAATTTTTTTTTATGTGAGAAAACTGGGACATGCTATTGTCTGGGCAATAAAAATGCATCGACCATAAATTGGAATTGATTTTATAACGTCACATTTTTATGCATTAGAAAGTATAACTATTCCTGAAATATATTTGTACCAAATAAACACATAAAAAGAAATTTAAGTTTCATTTTAATTTCTAAAAATCCCTAAACTCTGTTTTTAATTTATGCACAAAACTATCCAACGAATTAAAATTTCTAATTTTTACGTATACGATGTTAAACTACCCAAACAAAACAAAAGAAATAAAACACATCGAGTTATAAATGCCTCAAAATAAAATTCTAATAGCGACAAAATCCTTATTGAGATGATAATTTAGGAGACATAAAAACGTAAAACTAAATTTAATGATGCTATTATTCCGATTATATTCAAGATTTCCTTTCGTAGAAGTTCTTTTCGAGATTTGTTACATTAATCTTTTAACGTTATGAGATCACGTCTTAATTTTATCATGCTATGCAAGCTTATTTCGCATTACCATAGTTACATTTTTACGTGGATTCTCCAAAATTGTTGTATAATTTTGCATCAGAATCAGTAAAAATTTTATTTACGGTGCTGTAAACTTATCGAAATCATCAAATACGTTCAATACATAGAGAAAATTCCAGAATAATGAAAAGAGAAGAAGAATATTATTAAAATGAAAAACATAATAAATAAAATGAAAAAGAATTTTTAAAGATTAAAATGTTTTAATAAAATCAGAAAAAAAAATTCTAATCTCTTCATCAGGTGAAATTTAGAAAGTACTCCTTTTAGTGAATACAATCGTGTGAGCTAATGAAGAAATTATATATTTTCCCCCTGAATTTGATTAAATTTTTTTGAATTTTTTTCAAATTTTATTTATAATGATATTTTATTTGAATAATTTTCTTCATATATATATAAACGAGCCTTTCATAAAAATAAAAAATTTTCGATATACTATAAAAAATATTTTTATTTTTTAGCAAAAAAAAACTATATTTTACTGACGAGCCAAACCAAACGAGTAAACTACTACTCTGGTACTACTTCTACTCTTTACCTTTTCATTTTATTTTATTCGTTTTCAAAATCAATACTCCCTTCATGAAGGATTTAGAATAACATAAATTTTCACATCCATCACCAGAACTATAACTAACTCAAATTTAAATAAAACTATAATCATAAATGCTATGAAAATTTTGACGCTTGTACTACAGGAATAGTAAACCATGGTTACAGTTTTACATTAGTTCAGAAACGATATTATTTTCAACCGATTTCTTAAAATTCTCTAAAATGTGTAATTTAACAACTTATTTTTGTGCTAGTGATCAAAATTGCAAACAAACTTTTAGCAATAAACTTCAGTGATGTAAAAATAAATAGAAGATTTGTTTATCAGTTTTTTTACATATTTATGCTTTTAAGATATAACTGAAAAAGTATTTTTCCCTATAAATTTTTTTTTATGATTTAATGAAAAATATTCATATTGGCTTTTTTTAATTTTATTTTTTCACATTTCATTCTTATTCAGATTTCTATTAAAGAATAATCTAAAGTTAAGGAATTTTAAATTTTAGTAATCATTCGCTTAAAACTTATTTGTAATTAATCAAACCAGACAACTCTCGTAAAAAAATGATTTTTTTTTTCAGATCTGAAATAGCGACCTAAAAATAAACACCCCATCTTTTACTTTTGCTAGTAAGTTTATGTCGTTATATTTTAGCATCGCACAATACTGCCAGAAGAATAATAAACCTCGCTAATTAATTCCTCCAATCTACGTCACAACCACCTCTTTGGAAAAAAAAACTGTACTCGGAGATATCGTCTGCAAGTTTTTCAGTGTTGTTGGCGATGTTTTTGGCGTTCGTCAGCTCGGTCGCTAGACGTCGAAGTTCCAGAGGAGCGTTTGGAAGTTGTTTTTTTTACGTGATGTGTGGTCAAAAGTAAATGTTTTTGAATGTACGAGAATAGTGAAAGATCCCGCCATCCCTCCGCATCCCTCAATGTCCCTCAACAGCAGTTCTATAATTCAAGAATGATGGAAATGGAAGAAGGAGATGTGCGGTCTAAGATCGCAGCCAAACAGAGAACAGGCTACAACGTTATGGGCAAGTATTTATAACTTTTTATATATAGGGTCAAATAATCCCTTACTTTTAAATTGTAGCTTTGATTTTTGTTGTTACGTTTATATTAGGGATATACAAAAAAAACTTATGTTTCCCCGATGTAGAAAATTTAAACAAGTTTTTTTACAAGTTCCTGTTCTGCAAGAATTTTATTTTAGTCATCTTTAAAATTTAAAATAATATATGCAACTGCTAAAACGTAACATCTTAGATTAGATTTATAGTTAGAATTTAAAACAACTAAGTGAAGGAAATTATTTACTTCCAATATAGAATATTAATGTTTTTTTTTATTATTTTGAAAAACAAAAGTCATTAGCTTACTTTGATAAAAATATTATTGAAATACACCATTACAAAATCTTTTGATAGAAACCAAAGTAACTGACATTCAGAAAAAGATTTTGAAAATGTAGCAAAATCGTTTACTCAAAACAATTATGTTGAAAAGGAAATTATAAAATTCGACATAACTATTTATATATCAAGAAGGTTACATTTTTAAAAAACGTCATTATTAAAATTATTTACACAAAACAAATTATTATTTTTATTGTTTTATTGAGATAAGGGACTTTTTTATGTCAATTTAGAAAACTTTTACTACAGCAGTTTTGTGTAGGAATTTTAAAATATATTTTTAAGACTATTGTAATTCTCTAATACTAAAATACAAATTATTTTCAACAATTATCAATGTAAGAAAAATTCTCGAAATGTCGAAATTATTTTTCTAATTGCGTAAAAAATAATTTTCAAAATGTTCTTAATCCTTTGATGCATTTGGAACACCGGTGTACCTTTTATACATTTTTCATGAAGTTCTAATTACAAGCAAAATTATACTTTGTTATTTTCCAATTATGAAAAAAAACAGTCTGATAGTTACTAAAAGCTTGTTAGATAATCAGAATTATACTCGTACTAAACTATAAAATCCAAATAAAGTAGATTGAAATTTTTTTTAAAATTCATATTCCAAATTGGTTTTGTCGATTAAAGAAATTTCATTGATGAATAACTGTTTCTTTTAGGTCTAAATAACTGCAAATTAGTGCAAATTATTGTTTGAAAGTAAGCCATGTTGGGAATATTTTCCTTTAACGCTGGAAAAGACACCGGTATTTCATGCTGTATTTCATAATCATAAATTATTAAAATACTAACTATAGTATTTTTCACTTTTTTTAACCTATATCAGTACAAAATATTAAAAAAATTATGAAAAGTATGCTTAATCAAAATTCTGCGACAAGGGGTTCACTTACAAACTGTTACCATAAAATAAATTGTATCACAATTTGTTGAATTCTCCTTCTTGCTAATTTTCTTCCTATATTACTATTAAAAAGTGAAAAATAAGACAATTTTTTAAAGAAAACAGTTGAAAATATTTTCCGAATTACCAATTTTAATATTTTGCTATTGAATAAATTAATGATGATACATAGAATAGCTTTGACGTATTTCTACAGAAAACGTTATTTTAAAGTTTGCTCTAGGTTATATGGCATTTCATTTATCAACTACGAATATTTTGCTTACCAATTTATTATTAATTATACTGCGTTGTTAGGGGAAATATTACTTAAAATCGACATGAAATAGATAAGAAAAAAAATATAAAAAAACTATTTCCTTAATAATAATAATTAATATATTTTGCTATTTTTCCCAGTTGAAACATGGCGATTTTGTATTTTCATAACGAAGGAAAAGTGAGTCTTACGTAAAAAATAATCATATTTTATCAATTAATTTTGCAGTTTTATATAGAGTTTCTTGCTATTAGTCGCTTTGTGAAGTTTTTATAACCTTGTTTACTTTGTGTATAAAAACTTTCAAGGTATAATTTTCTTAATGGAATGCCTGCAAGTGGCGTAGCGACGTAGTATCTCGATCCTGATTGGTTGTTAAAATGTGGCATATGTTTATGCTAACAACTGTTTAGTTCTTTTTATTCTATTCCGAGCTAGCCAAGCCCGTCAAGTATCAATTTTCTTAAATGATACATTCTTGGACATGAATTCTTTAACAAAGATTTCAATTCCGTCGCTATATATTTCTTATTTGACACAAAGACAAGGATGAAGAAATGTAGAACATAAACAAACTAATCATGTATCGAAGTTGCCAGGTTACACAAAACAAAAATATATCGCGGTTACAATTATATACATAAACAAATAGTAAATCTAAGTTAAGTGAAAGACATAGAAGAGAAATAATTATATTTCATAAAATTTGATGTGTGATACGGCACTTTTTTAATTAACTTCGCGTTAATTGACATTATAGCTGATGTAGAGAAACTTAACTCAACTTTAACTCTCCTCATAGTTCACATATGTGGGTATCCGTGATCTTCTTCAGAGAGTGCAAGTACCCATTTAAAATATATGATAATTTTATGATGAAAATTAATGAAAAATTATTTTTTTTCTTTTTTATCTTTTTGCTTTACGTAAATATCGAAGTGCCTGATGTGGGAATTTTTAAATAAAATTGAAATATATCAGCATTTTTTTTAAAACATATATTATCTTTTTTTCCGTTATTACTACTTACTTGCAAATTTTTTCAGGTATAAGAAATTATAGTTGTTCAAATTTAAATACATTTTCAATTTCTATATAAGAGCTAATCATCAAGTTGAAAATGCAGTTATAAATGCAAGAGGTCAAAATGCTTAAGCAAGACGTAAACTGAAAGCTCTTCCTTAAACAATTAAGGAAAGTTCTTTCTTTCTGTTTACTTTGCCTTGGCTTTTTAAATTAGTTAAGCTCTTTTCTATAAATTTCAAAAGATACGTAATTTCCTTGCAAACTTATTTAAACATCATTTTACTATGTTAAAATTTATTGGAATTTTAAACTCAATTTATATAAATACCATAATTTATCTAAATACAAATTGAAAATAATTAGCTATAAAATTAAAAAAATTTATTTGTTACTCTAATAGTGTTTTAAGTTTTAAAAATGTAATACTAATAAATCCACTTCTATTCTTTCTTAAAGATTAAGAAGCATTTAAAGCGCACCATTTTTAATTCAACGAGACGATTAACAACGTAGTAAAGACGCTTTAAATCTGTAAAACAATTACAAATAAAATTTTTGTCTATGTAAATTAATGTTAATTTTTTGAATAATTTTATTATGAATTATAATATTTCATTTTTGGTTATTCCATTTTTCGATTATGCGTATGTTTTACATTCAGATGATGAAATATTAGTTTAATAAAAATATTTTTTATAATCTTCAACTCAATCAACAAAGTAATTCAAAGTATAATACACCTAAACTGCTATTTATCATGACGAATTATTAAATTATTTTACGAATTTAAGTTTTTAAAAGTTGCACAATTTAAAAGTTTTATAGTATTTATCGCGTTCGATATTACCTTGTTTAATCACACTGATTTAAATTACGCATATTTGACAGCTTTTAGATCAGATACTTTGGTCAATGTTGCTCTTATTTAAAGATAACAATTTCTTTAAAAAATAAGCAGTAGTATTTTTTTTTAAATAATTAGTTTTTAAAAAAAAAGTGATTTTAAAAAGAAAATTTGCTTTTCCTCAAAAGTAGTACATTAAAGCGTGTTATTTTTAAGGCATTTTATTACAAAAAAAAATTTTGTTTTGAGCATCGAAGCATTTCAGTTGAAAAAGCTGTGTTTCCTTTCGTTGAAGAGTCGTTTGAGTTCCGTGAATTGTTTTATGTCTTTCATAT